CCTTGAGCGTGTTCTCACTGTAATTCAAAGCCCCCGATCCCTTTTTATTGTCAGATCAACCAGGGTGATACCCTTAGGTTACCTTCAACATGAAGAATTTTGTAGGGGGAAGTGCAGAATCATCGTGCTGGTGAAATCAGATACAGCACGACAGGAACAGGAGGGCTGGCCAAGGCCAAGTCCCGGGTGAGTGGTGGTTTCCTCCCTGCCTTCTCAGAAGAGGTTCGTCTGAGCAGAGTCTGGACGGCTGAGTAGGGGGAAGCCAGACAGACAAGACAGGGGCTGGCGTTCCGGGCAGAGAGAAAAAGATGAACCCAAGTGTGGAGGTGGGGAGAGCAGAGAGCCTGGCCTGCTGTGGAGCTGCCCCGAGTTAGCTGAGGCCGGGGGTGTGGAGGGGCTGCGGAGGTGGGTGACCACCAGGGACTAGAGATGCTGGGGGAGGGAGGCTGGACTCCCCTGGAGGACAGCAGAGAGCTGCCGAGGGTTGTAAGCACAGGGAGAGGTGTGCTACGGTTTGCATTTCAGAAATTCCACTTTGGGGCCAGGTGGAAGGTGGACTGCCAAGGATGGTGCTGACAGGGAGAGACCAGTGATGAGGCTGTTCTAGCCTGAGCGGCCCTCAGACAGACCCCCGCTAGCCATGCTGTTATTTCTACCGGGATTTCTTTTTCTCCAGCTTGCAGTGGTGGGACCTTTCTGGGCTCTGGAGTACTGGAGAAAAGACTGCAACTGGTCTGGTTTAGAAACCAATATGAGGTCATTTTCTCAGAAAATGAAAAAGGCTTAGAGGTAAAAAACAAACAAACAAACAAAACCCAAAAAACCCCTGCACATAACACCTCACTTCTCCTGACAAGTTATTGTCAGGAGAGACAGGGAAAGAAAAGTCACAATGTGAACTTTTAGGAGATTTTTGTCCCTAGAGGGCCCAGCTAGTGCTCTTTGGGGCCTCTCAGCACCTTCTAGCACCTTCGCCAACCACAGGTCCACCGGTGTATTTGAGGGTCTTCATCTTCCTCTTCATCTTGGCACCGAGGCTATGGCTCTGGCCCTCACTCAGGCTGGCGTCAGTAGATAAGATTAATGAGTTATCTATTGCTACTTAACACATTACTCTAGAATTCAGCATCTGAAACAAGCATTTATTGTCTCTCAGGTTCTGCAGATCAGGAATTCGGGAGCAGCTGCCCCGGGTGGTTCCGGCTCTGGGCCTCTCATGAGGGTGTAGCCAGTTGTCAGCCAAGGGCTGCAGTCACCTGGATCAGAGGCGCCTCCCAAGCTCACTCATGGGTTTTGGCTGGCCTCCGTTCCTCTTGGCTTTGTCTGGATTCTTCACTTCCTCCCCACGTGGGCCTCTCCACAGGCTACCCTAGTGTCCTCAGGTCATGGCGCCTGGGTCCCCCAGAGTCAGGGATTCCAGAGAAAGTGCACTCGGGGTGGAAGCCACAGTCTTTTTATAGCCCAGTCTCACAAGTGAGGTACCACCGGTTCCAGAGCATCCTTCTTGTCAGAGCAAATCTCTAAGTCCAGCCCGCAGTGAAGGGGAGGGGAGAGGAGTTCATCTCCACCTCCTGAAGGGAGATGGACAAAGAATTTGTAGGTGTCTTTTTAAAACCCCCATAAGGACCTTATTTAATCTTCAGGGACGATGTGACACAGTGGTTAAGAGCATAAATTTGAGGTTCATAAGGTCCTAGGTTTAATCCTGGCTCCCCCACTGGCTACTTATGCAGGTTTAGACAAGCCCTTTAACCTTTCTGGATCTCAGCGTCCTAATCTATGAAATGGGGGTAAGCACAGGAGACGTTTCACTGGGTTGCCGTGAGAATTAGATAAGATCCTCTGTAAAGTGCTTGGCACAGGATAAGCACCGAGTAAGCATTATTTAACTGCTTGATATCGTAACTGTGTGATATATTTTCCTCCTTCCCAAGAGGCAGAACGGCGCCGAGGTCACAAGCACAGGGTGCGGAGTCGGACTGCCTGCTGGGGACTCGGGCTGGGCCGGCCATCAGCTGGGACAGCTGGGCTGAGTCCCTGAACGCCTCTTCCCCTTGCTTTTCTGTGAAATGAAGATAATAATAGCTGGTGCCTGGCCACAGGATAGGAGTTCAATAAATATTTTATGAATAAGGACATCGTGCATGATGATAGAGGGAGTGACAAAGGAGTGTGTGAGTGTGTGTGTGTGTGTGTGTGTGTGAGTGCGCTGAGATGCTACAACGAGCACATTTGACTTAAACACCTTCTGTTGACTGAGGGGCCTGGCGCGGCTGCCCTGGGTGCAGGGAGGGTGCCCTGCGCCCCCAGCACTACCCTCCGTGAGTTTCGGGCCTCCCGTCCCTCACGGCTGTCTTTGTTCTCACTGTTTTCTTCTCTCCCGCCCTGGCTTTGCTCAAGCACGCTGCCTCCCCCAAGCACATGTTTAATTGGCTTTGCACAAGTCTGGGGACTCCGTGACAGGAAGGGGGGTCCCGTGTCACACCACCTCCGAGCTGCTACATTACCTTAAATTGATTTTGCAAATGAAAGCTAAAAACTAAGCCAAGGTGAGCCATCCATTTCGCCTAAAGATGATTATGATGCTTGTTTACGGCCCCCTAAATGACAGAGCAGTTTGTTACCTGGCCGCATCAACATTTGCTTATATTAGCACCCGAGATGCTTGATTTTTATGAGCCCCGCGTTATCACTTTATGAAGATGCAGGGGCTCAGTAAAATTGGTTTGCAGATAGAATGCCCACTTTGCATTTTCCTGTGGTCAGCAGAAATGCCGAATGCAACTGAGCTGGTACCGGGTCAGGGGAGACATCCATAACGTAGCCCTCGCCGAAGGCCTGCGAGTGCCATTCATCATTTCTGAACGGCTGGGGTAGACGGGGTCAGCGTTAGTGTTTTTAAAAGGGCTTGGTGGCATTTTTTTTTTTTTTTATTATTAAGGAAAAAGCAATATAAATACCAAGACAGTCGTTCAACTTCCACAAGGAATAAGGGATGAAACCAAACCCTTTTGTATATGTTAAAGATGGAAATGCAGAGGATGCAGAATCTCGTATTGGGAGTGGAGCCGGGGGCTGAAAGGGGCACCGGCCAGGAGCTGGGGCTCGGCCACCTCTGCAGCTGCCTGACCTGGGGCCCGTCTCTTCCACCTGGTAGCCTCAGTTCCCTCACCTATAAAATGGGGCCAATGCTCCTGACCTCACAGCGGCATGATGAAGATTAAATAAGATAACATGTGTCTAAATCTCTTTCTATACCATGATCTATACGAGTACTTTTTATTTATTAATTTAACAGCCAGTTTCTGAGCACCTGTTCCATGCAGGGTCCTGGGAAAGACGTTGAAAACACACAGTGAAAGTCACAGTTTCTCCCTTGAGGAGCTTCTTCTGTTCAGTGCAGGAAAAGTTCAGGTGTCTAACTCCCCTTTTAAACCATGAACTTCTTTAGAGAAGGTGAGTCTTCCCTTTCTCCCTTTGCTCCTAAAGGTGCCTCACACAGAGCCGAGCACACAGTGAGTTCTCGGAAAAACATTTTGACTCCATGATGTATCTTGCTGCCTTTCCTATTATTAGGGAAGCAGTGACCTCAGTTTCTACCGGTCACCCCAACAGGCCAGGCAAGTTCCAAGCTTTTAGAACCAGGCTTCATAGAGTCCCTAGTTTTATTTCAGTGTCTGGCATCAGGGTAGCAGAAGTTGGGATCATGAACCACATTCAAAATAACCTGTCTCTGGCATTTCAGAAGCTGAGATTCTCCTCATTGTTCTAAGTGCCCCCCTCCCTCCAGATCACCCTGTCACCTAAATGGAATCCTTTCATCCAGCGTCTCTCCACAATCATTTCTGAATTCACTTCACGTCATTGTTCTGTTCTGGGTCGATCGGTCCTTCCTCTGCCCGTGACTAAGCACCCTCCTCCTGCCCCTTCTTTCTGGGAATGTCACCGTTGGCTACTGCTTTTGTCTAATTGTATCTTTGCACAGTAGCTAAATTTTCTTACACAAGTGAGACTTCTGTAGAGGCAACAAAAGCTTGGGCCCTGATTCAGGGCCATATTTTCCTACTTCTTTGCATGTCTAGTAATTTTTTACTGGATGCTGGATTTCATGAATTATACATGGTTGACTGTCTGGATTTTGTTACCTTCCTTTAAAGAGAGTTGAGCTTTATATAGCAGGCAGTTAAGATTATTTTGTTCAGTTTGGTCCTTTTGAGATTTATTTTTAAACTTTGTTAGTCTAGAAGAACCACTAAGGCATGGTCCTTCTGGGTTCTCGATTGATTGTCAGAACAATCAATGAGGGAATTCAAAGTGGTGGGAATTCAAAGGATTCCTAGTTCTCTGTGCAATTCACCTCTCCCTGGTCATCTGTTTATCCTCACCCCTCCCCATTACCTGTGTGATCTTGAACAAGTTATATAACCTCTTTGAAATTTAGTCTCTGCTTCTATAAAAAGGAGTATTAATATGTATGTTTCTGTAAGGATTATAAATAATGTGTATATTGTGCCTGACACAAAAGGAGCTAATTAAAGGGCAGATGCTACCATTACTAAAGAAGTACTGCCTTTTTTACTGAACATTTACTGTGTAGTAGGCAATATGTTAGCTTGTTTAATCATTACAACAACCCTATGAAGTAGGTATTGTCATCCACATTTATAGACAAGCATATTAAAACTCAGAATGGATACAAAACTTGCCTAGGGTCACAGTCAGTGGGTTCAGGACTTATTCACTCATATCACCTCTTTAGATGACTTTAATATGAATGTAATCGGTAGCATCAAGGAATGGGATGTAGTCTTAATATTGAGTAGCCAGGGACATAATTAAATTAGTCATCAATGGCTGGGCCTTAATGGTTATAACCCAATGATTTAAGAGAGAAATGTAAAGTACCCAGCCCATTTCCTGCTTTCCCCCTCCCACATACCAACCCCTAGTCTCAGCTTTCCTTGCCTTCCTTAGCAACCTTCTTTTATTTTATCTTACAGACAATCTTCGGGAAGGGGCAGAGAAGAAGGTGGTATTCATCACGGGACGAGTCCACCCAGGGGAAACACCCTCTTCATTTGTGTGCCAAGGTGAGTGGCAGGATCCCATGGGCATCCTTTGCTTACCCCCCACACGCACTGGGGCGCCATGACAGTCTCTGGGACAGTGTGGTAACATACAGAAGCATTATCTTGGATGGGAATTTACTTCACTTCTAAAGAGATTACACTTGATCTTCCCTAGGATTTATTTTCAATAAATATTGACTGTATGTATGTATGCATGAGTGGATGCATGAGTGGATGGATGCATAAACGAGTAGGTAGGACCGAATGAAGTTCTCTAGTATGTGCTATGTTGAGGATGAGCCATACAGGGTCACCTACACTCACTAGCTTTGTTTCACTTGTTTCTAGTGGTTTACAACAATAAATAACACATCTGGCCTCAGGCCAATGTGCATGTTGGTGTAAGGGCAGGCAGTGAACTGGGGAGTTAAGGACTGAACATTTTCCATTCACTCATTTATTCGATTATTCACTTAACAAACAACTTTTGAAATACCTACCATGAGCAAGGAAGCATGCTTGGTATCAGACAACCAGATAGATACAATATGATTTCTCTTCTCAAATATCTCTCTTTATAATTACATTTTATTTATTATTAAATATTTCATCTGTATAAAACACATTTAATGTCAGCAATATATAAGTATACATGCATGCGTATATATGGATCAGTTAGTCGGCAATATAAATATCTTCAATGAATAATATGTAAGTAATAATTAATGAATGCCCACCTTAAGAGGCAGACTGTTACCAATTTCTTGTCAGTCCTTTGCCCTCCACCCCCGCCCAAATAACCATCTGCTTGAATTCTGTATTTGCCTTTCTTAACAGTTTCACTAACATGCAAGCATTCCTAAATTATTTTCAGCCTTGCATGGTTGCGAACTTTGTAAAAATGGTATCATTCTGTACATGTGACACCGGTGTCACCCGATATCCGTGCCGGTGAAGATGCCTGTCGATCGCTCCTTTCACCAAGTGGTCTACTCCTTGTCTGTCTGTACCTCAACTTACCCGTCTGTTCTCCTGAAGGATGACAGTTAAGTTGTTTACAGTGTTTTTTCTTGCCAGCAATGCTGATCAAATGTTCTTACACATGTCGCCTTGTACACAAGGGCAAGTTCCTTCCTAGGGGATTTAACCGTGGGCCCTGACTGCTGGGCCACAGGACATGCGCATCTTGGCTTCACCAGCAATTCACTGACACGAGTGATGTGCCAGAGCTCCTGGCGCCCCACACTCTTGCCAGAACTGTTGCATTTTTATCCATCTAGTGGGTGCACTATATATAAAATGTATGATACTTTATATGTGCCAGGCACTGTAATATGTAAAATAAAATACACATTTTATTTTAATTATTTAGTTTTATTAATTGGATTTAATTTATTTCCATTACATGAGTTTTTCAATGTCAGAGGAACTAATATGAACTATATTTTTACATATGAAAAACCAAAGTTTAGAGAAGTTAAATAGTTTATCTCATTTTAGTTTCAAAATGACTGTTAGGTCAAAGGGATAGGAAACCCCCCTAAAGGCCATATAAGCTGAGGGAGGTGGCCTGCTGCTGCGGAAGTACCTGGTGATTTGCCTTCGGACAGTCTCGAGATCGAATATCGGCTCTGCCGCTTCCTCGCAGTGTAACTTCAGTTTCCTTAAATGTAAAATAAGTCAGGAAACCAATACTTGTCTGAAGGCTATGATGAAGCTGGCATGAGATGAATGTCCACAAATGCCCAGTCCTGTGCTTGGCACCCAGCGGGCACCCAGCAGATGGCCCCTCCTTCCTCGTGGGACCTGAGAGGTGAAGCAGGCCATGGGCTTTGCACACTGAGGCATTGTGCAAATGATATGGGGTTTATCTCCCCGTTCACAGTCTCCCAGCGCTGGGATTGGACACGGCTGCCTCCCGGGGTTTCTGGCAAGGAGACGGTTTCAGGGAGAGAAAGTGATCGCCCAGAGCTGCACAGCTGGGGTGTCTCAGCTCCTCTCTCCAGTCACCTTAGCTCACTTCTTGGCATTCTCACTTCCAGCCTCCATCCCTCCCAGCACTGTCCTTGCAATAACCTCTCCCAGGTCCCTCCTGCTTTTGCTGCGGCCATCTGTCAGTTACTAAACTTGGCAGCAGACCTGTTCCCCCAGCTCATCGGCTGCAACTATTTTGTCCTTGTTTGTAAAAAGGCAGTAGCCTTACTACCAATACTTTCATCTCTGGGAGCTTCAACTCCCATGCCCACCTCCTCTGTGAGCAGTAGACCGAGGGCAGGGTCTCCATCCCATTTTACAGGCGAGGCCTGAGGCATAGAGTTGAGTAGAGCTCGGGTGCTCCCTCTGTTGACCCTGCTTTTCCAAAAGGGAACCTGGATGGTGCCGAGGTGATAGAGCCAGTGCTGTCCTGCGGGCTTTCAATTGATGCTCACTCCTTGGCAGAGCCTTTTAATGCCTCTCCTCTACCTTCTCAAGATACACACCAAACCATTGGCATGACATTCACAACCCTTTGTGATCTGGCTCTTGCCAAGTTCTCTGGCCTGAGCCTTATTGTATCCCAGCCCCAAAAACTTAATCCCTGAATGGACAATCCTCTCGCCACCCCTGGGCCTTTGCACCTGCTGCTCCTCTGCCTACTGCTCCTTCTCCCAAGGTTTATGTCAGATGCCCCCTGTGGGCCCCTGGCCCACTCCCTGTGGCTGTACTGGGGGTTACCCAATAGTCATCTTTATTACCCTGATTTGTTATATATTTGAGTTATGTTTGTTTCTTCCCCTTTAAACCATGAGCTACTTGAGGCGTAGGGCTGGGTCTTTGAGTTTCATTTTCCACATGTGTAAAATGGGGGTGATTTTGCTCATTTCCTGAGGTTGTGGTAAGGAATACACGCTGTGTTGGCTCTGGGATGCTAAACCTGAGTTCAGAAAGAGGAGTCTCAATGTCACATAGCCAGAAGGATGCAGAAGGGTGCAGAAAGGGACAGAAGGAGGCCCCGAATCTGGGTTTCCAGGCCTGTACATGCCCCACTCAGCAATGGGAAATGCTAGAAGGCCGAGCTCGTGCCTAGAGAAATTGCACTCTGGACACCCCATAACAATCAATGTGCATGTTACAGAAGTGGATGCAGAGGCTTCGAGAAGTAAGGTGGATTACCCAAGGCCCCACAGCTAACTCATAGCAGATGTGGCATACAAGCCCTCTCCCCAATCCTCCCTTCACCCTTCTAATCTCTGACTGTCCCTCGAGACACTTCTGCTTCCTTAAGGCAGTTTAAGTCAGGCATCATTCCCCCCACTTTGCCAAAGAGAGACTGAGGCATGGTCTTTCCCAAGGTTCTCTCAGTCCCCTGTGGACAGCCCAGACCACAGCCCCACCAGGCTCAGCCGGGCTTTCTTCCCCAGCCCAGCCCTCCCTGGGTCCCCTCCCCTGCTCACCTGGCTGTGGGGAGGGCAGGAGGGCCCAGGCCTGGAAGGACGATGTCTGGTACCCTTGGTTCTCTTCACTTCTTCCCCATTAGCTGGCTCAGTGACCTTGAGCGGGGAACAGGCATGTGGGCCTGATCGCCCCATCTGGCTGGGACCAAGGTTCTCGCCACCGAGCTGCTGACACACCTGCTGCTGGGAGCAGAGCGCAGCCGTGTCCTCGCAGAGCTCAGGAAGCAAGCGAATGGCGGGGAGGGAGGCAGAGCTGCGAGCTCCTCAGGCCCTGCTTGCTGGTGAGACCCTGGTTCCCAGCCACCCCGCTGCTGCCTCAGACCTTCCCTGGCCAAACTACCCCTGTTCATCAGCCACAACAGGGAGCTGGGCACTGCCCTGTAGCAGGGTGTGTCAGCACGGTCTCAGGAGCTCAATGGCCTGGGGTTGGATCCCAGCTCCTCCACTTACCACAGTGTGGCCTTGGGGATGGCCGATGACCTCTCCATGCCTCCGTTCCTTTACCTCAAAAGGGAAATTATAGTAGGAATCCTGCCCCCTAGGGTTGCTGTGAAGATTAAATAAGTTAATATTCACACAACATTTAGGACCGGTACCTGAAAGCTCTCAATGTGTGTTGTTAGTAGCGGAGGAGGTGGCACTAACTGAGCACTTTGCAGGTGCCAGGGATGGGTCCTCTCATCCTCCCTGTGAACCAAACCCCAGTGTGTGACTTCCATGCCAGGCGCCTCCCCCACTTCCTCGCCACCCCCTGAGAGCTGTCAGCTGAGCCCTCCTCATTTACATGCTGAGAAGACCACACTGCACTTCAGAAGCGTGGCCAGGACTGGACCTGTCTTCCTCCTGGTCCAGGGACTGCTCTTTCACTGAATTAATTAGACCTACATTTATAGAATGACACTGTGGGCAAGCACATCCCGGTGGAGAGCGGCATGGGGAGGTGGACATGGCAGAGGACTTGGGCTGAGTTTGAGTCCTGCCACTTCCACTTCCTAGCCGGGGTCCTTCAGCAAGTTCTCAACTCTCAGAGCCTCTGTTTCTTCACTGGCAATATGGGGGTAGCAGTGTGGCCCTCACGGAGCCGCTGGGCGGGTAAATGAGGTCACGTATGTTGGAGTTCAGCGTCAGACACAGGGAGGTGCCCACCTTGCCCACGCTCTCCTCTCCTTGCTCTTCCTCAGTGATCCTACCAGGTGGCCGGGCAAAATCAGCCCTGCTCCTCAGAAAAGCCAAAGGATTCTCTAAATGTCACCTGATAGAGTGGGGACCAGACCCAGGTCTCCTGTCCCCCAGCCTGGGCCCTGCTGCAATGTGCCAAGGTGCCCACCAGGCCCTAGACCGTGGTGATAGAGCTGGTCTTCCCCCAGGGAGGTCACGCCTCAGATTATCCTGTGCGGGTGAGAGGAGGAGGAAGGAGAGCCCCCTCCCGCCCCCGACACGCACACACACTCACACTCACACACTCAACATGCACTAACAATCGCCAGGACCACCAGGAGAACACAACCTAACATTTCCTGCATGAAGTGGTGAGCTTGGCCCCTTCCTGCCCCCCTTACCCCCCGCTTCCCTCCCACCTCTATCCCTCACTTCTTCTCCCTCTCCTCTCTCAAGCCCAAACAGCCTCACATAAGCACAACACTAGGTCCATGAAGGGGTTCTCATGGGGCCTTTCACGTCCCTAAGCCTCTGTCTTTTCATCTGTGAAATGGACACCATTGGGGGTGGGAGCATGAGGACTTAGACTCCATGAACTTCAGGTTCTTTAGGGCCAGGCTCCCTGTGATCTGAAATGTGGGGCCCTGGGGCTCAGCTGTGGGCAGACAGGAGCATGGTGCTGGGTCGGTGGAGGGCCTGAGTAGCTGCTGTCGTGTGACCCACCCCCTGCCCCTCTGCTTTGAGCCTAGCAGAGACCCCCACCTGTCTCGCTTCAAGCCTGGGCTCTTCCCATCACAGTGCCCTGCCTACTAGCAGAGAACAGCAATGGTAAGCCTTACACAGACTCTAGAGAGAAAGTCAGGCAGGCACACATGCAAATCGTTCTGCAAATCACACACAGACAGGCTCCTGGCTCTTCCTGTCTGGCCTCCATGGAAAGAGCACCAGCTGGAAGTCAGTAGATCTGGGTCCGAATCCCGTCTAGGTCCCTGTGAATCACCCAGCAAGTGATGTTCAGCACCCTGACTTTGTTTCCTTGTCTGTGAAATGGAGCCAGTAGAATTTCAGATCAAGCCAGTGCCCATCACTGGGCCGTCTTTCTTGATTCATGTCACTCATACCTATTGAGGACACCTCCTGTGGCCAGCACTGAATTCAGCTGACAAAATAGTGGCATAGAGTCAGACCTGTCCCTGCCCCCTGGGGCTCACCCCCTGGAGGGAAGACGGACTTGAAGAGCAGATGCAAGCCTCAGTCCCCGAAACTCAGAGGCCCAATGGGTATGATGCCCCGTTGAACTGTATCCGACCTCAGCCAGCAGAGGAGTCTGAAGCCTTTCCTCTCCGTCCCCACCCTCTCTCTGGGAGCGGGAGCTCAGGGTGGCTGCAGCCTCTGGCCTGGCTTGGTTTTCTCTCATCCTTTTATTAGCTGCCTAATTGGCAGCCCAATTAATCTGCTCATCTGTGAAGGAGGGTGGATCACAATGAGCTGCTCCATTTCCAGAAGCCATTCTCTGCGGCAGCGTGGCCGGGCCCTGAGCGCAGGCTGGCTCCTTGATGAAGGGCCGCCCCGGGAACCGGGGTCAATTAGTGGACAGATTAAGCAATTATGAGCCCCTAACAAGGGCGCCTGGCATCATTACCCTGCCTGTTTACTGGCAAACTGCAGCTTTAATATGAAGACCAACAAATAAATTAGGGCATCTGGTCTACTGCCTCCTCGGCCGAGAAGTGAATGACGTCCAACTGGCTTTCCGCTGCCCGCGGATTCCCAGCCTCGGCCTGATGAAAAGCCCGAGCTGTCCCTGCCTGGTCACGGCCGCTCCGGAATGTGCTCTGGAGCTTTGTAACATTCCAGGAGCTAAGTGCCTGCCACGGGGCATGGGTTGTTCTTAGTTACCCTGCTGTCTCCTCCGTCTGTCTGTCAAGGCCTACCTCCTCCGTCTGTCTGTCAAGGCCTACGTACGTTCCCAAGCCCAGCTCAAAGCTGCTGCTCCCGGATGCTCTCCTGCTCTCTCCAGAGGGAAAGGAGCCCCCTTCTGCATTTGGGGAGGGTTTTGTACTCTCCCATTACTTTCCAGCATCACAGTCATTTTGTGGGATGCCAGGGTACCATTTTGGCCCATTTTTTAGGTCTTAGATGAATAAATGTGGAGAAGAGGAGGGAAAGGGAAAAGGCTCAGCATTGTTTGTTTTTTCAGCCCCTCTTCTGTGGACACACGCAGGCCATCACCCGAGGACACCAAGGAGGGGAGTGGCAGGGTCAGATTGCACTTTAGGAAGATCCCTCTGGCTGCAGCGTTGAGGGCACATGTCAGAGGTCCTTGCTGTCATCCAGGCCAGATGTGGTGGTGGCGTAGAGTAGAAGAGAGGCAGAGGGGCGGGATGAGGGCCGTTTTGCTAGATTCTAAGAAGAGCCTTGGGGACAGCCTGACAGTGGGAGGAGAGTCATGGCGAATTCAACTTTCCTAAATTTAGTGACCCGGAGGCAAGGTGGCATTGGTGCCAGTGAGAAACAAAGAGGGAATCTGGGAACAGAGGACCCTCAACATGGAGAAAGGAGCTGTTGGGGAACATTGAGAAACCTCCGTCCTCGTGTGACTTTAGTCAGACCCCTTCTCCTCTCTGCTTCCTGGTGTGCCTGTCAGCAGGCCCAGGATTTAAGTCCCTAGTCATCAATTCAATGTCAGTATTTAGCTAACTTCATTCTTTGTTCAACTTATCCTTCCTCTCCCCCATCTTTGTCTGTCTAAACTCTATGGCCCTCCAGGGCACAGCTCAAATACTATCTTTTCTTGGAAACTCCTCCTGTGCTCTCCACAGGAAATGGTCTCTCCATCCTGCCCATGGGCTTTAACATTAAGCCTTGAATTATCTCTTGGGAACAGAAATACATTTATGAAATTCCCCGGGGCAGCATCTAACCCATAGTCCTACATTCACAGTGGCTAACGGCATAGACCTCGATCACCTGTTGAGCTCTCGCTGTTTTCCACGCTCAGGACAATGAGCTCCTTCCTTCTGAAAACACTCTGAGGTTAACCCAGGTGTTCTCTCTCCCTAGGGATCATTGACTTCCTCATAAGCCAGCACCCGATTGCGCGTGTCCTGCGGGAACACTTGGTCTTCAAGATCGCACCAATGCTCAACCCTGACGGAGTCTACCTGGGCAACTACAGGTGAGGCATGGGAGAGAATGCTCGGAAGTTGGTGGTCGTAGGATGGGGAGGAAGCAAGAAGAAAAAGGGGATGTATTTTTGAGGAAGGATTTTCAGACTCCCCATGAGTTCATTAGAGGGAGCTTCACCCTGGCTCTTGAGAATGTGGCCAATGAGCCTTGGCTGTTCCGTGCACAGGCACATAAGATCACTTGCTGGGGTTTTCTGGGAACCTTGCTGGACCAGGAACCAGGAGCCTAATATCGGTTTTGGCACCTACCTCCTATGTAGCCTTGGGGAATTCACTTCCCCTCTGATGTTCAGTTTCTCTTGCATAATGGAGACAATAATTACTTACCTGGCAGGGCACTTGTGAGCATGAGAAGAAATGGTGGACGTAAATGTGCTTTGCAGAATATCATGTGGTGCTTAGAATGATTACTGTTTCCTTTCTGTGTTTCTTCACGGAGATTATTAACGATAGAGTGGCATCCCAGATCATCCGAACAGCATTGCTTTGAGTGTAACTAGCCACTCACTCACTCACTCACTCACTCACTCACTCACTCACTCACTCACGTCTTGAGTTCCCTCTGTCCTAGCAGCACCATAATTTACAGCCTAAATTCCACTGCTCAGGGATTATCGGCCAAAAGAACATTGGATCCTCTCCGACACTGTTCTTACCCTATTTCACAGTTGAGGAACTGACTTGCCCAAAGTTACAGTAAGTCACTGTCTAACTTCACTGCCCAAATTATGCAGCTTTGTTGCTGATTAATCAACAACTCTCAAGGAGACATTCAAAGCGCTGAGCTTCACCTGCAAGTCTCTGTATGACCTGGTGCCTGCCTGTCCACTGTGCTGCCTCACCTCCCACCCTCCACTCTTAGAGCTGCTGCTGTAGCCACACTAAGTAAAGCCTCATTCCCTGCACTTGTCCTCTTGGTCTCTGATTCCTTACCCTGTGGCCTGAACCCCTTCACCCCTTCTTCATCTCACTAACCCCTCTTCACAACTCAGCTGTGCCCCTTCTTCTGGAAAACATTCCCCAACACCCCAAACACAATTGGTCACTGCCTTCTCTGAGCTCCCACCAGCCTGGTTATTGAGTGAGTTTTAACCCGTTGCATACACCCCACTGACCCTCCAGCCACCAGAGAGCAGGGACTGAGCTTTAATGGTCTTTGTGTACCCCAGTGCCTGGCAGCAAGGATCAGCACATACTAGGTGCTCAAAAAGTGTTTGATGAATATGAATGAAAAAAAGCAATGACTTTGCTGATGAAGAAACTGAGGACCAGAGATGAGATGGGACTCGCCCAGAGTCAGTGGCAGAGCTCGGACCAGAACCTAGATTGCCTGATATGTAGCAGCCAGCTTCATTTTAAACAGAGCTGGTTTGCTGCTTTCCAAGAGCATGGCAATTGGGTCCAGAGGGGCTTCTAGGCCCCCTGGGTATGAGTTAGAGAGAGCCCACGGGATGCATGATGCCTTAATTAAAGACAGTTTTGCTTCCTCTCTTAATTGGCCCAAGCGACGGTTCATTAGCTCTGGCAGGTTTGCTGGGGGCCTGGGAGCAATGCCTCTTTCCCTTCCCTGGACAGAATGCACTGCTAGTGATAATGGTGGTGGGATGACTGTTTGATTTATGGTAACATTTCTGTTTAATTACAAGAGCGGCAGTGGTCAGAGAGGGGTCAATGTGGTCCACTTCACACACACATTAATGCCGTCATCTGCTGTCCGGGGTGATGTGTTGGAAAGAGGTCTGTGACCTTGGCTGCAATGCCTCCCCTCTCCAGGTTTCAGGTGGCCGGTGGGGTGGTGATGGGGAACTAGAAGCTTTAATGTCTTCAAGCTCCAGATTTTGTAATTTGGGATTTTAGGATGAAAGCACTCAACCCTCTGAAATGGTTCTGGGACGAAGTTTAAACCCCCAGCGTTCTCTGAGCGAGAATGTGTGATCCTCGTTAGGAGACTTGGAGAAAGGCTCTAACCACAGGCATTAATCCTGTTGCTAAAACGGCTCTGAGTAGCAACAAAAGAGCCAATCAGTCACGAAAATTCACTCTACAGATGTGGGGAACATGGAAAGTGATAATAAATACTCAGAACTAAGAGCCTCAAGGTGCCCTAGAGGTCCTCTAGGCCCGCCCTCCCCAGCCACCAACTCTGCGTGTTTCCCACAGTTTGGTGGGACTTCCCACGGCTTTATGGGGGTGGGGGAAGAATTCAGAGTTCGAGTAAGTTTGAGAAACACAGAGCTAAGAAAAGTTAAACATGTTCTTTTACAAAAAGATTGTTCAGTTTCGAAAATACTAATAAACAGGAATCTCAAGAGGGGAATGTAGTATTTAGCATTTTCAAAATGTAAGTGTCAAGGGACCCTTTTCCTATAGAGCGTGTTCCCTACCCCCACCGGCCATGGTGTTAGGGTTTATAAAACACATCGCAGGAAATCCACTCCAAGAGTTCTGTTTGCTCGCCCAGCCCATGTCAAGCTCTCCCACACTTATTTCATCCTTACAGCCACCCTGTGAAGGGGGAGTCTTTGTTAAGGTTTCTGTGCTCGCAAATAATAAAAATCTTCTCAAATTGGCTTGAGTACAGGAGGAAAGGCAGTGAAGGGAGG